CGCTGGCGCCACCCCTGAGAGTGATTATAATAGTTCCTTTTGCATTACATGCATAGGAACTAAAAATGGAGAAAAAAGAAAATTTTTGGCATAAAAGTCTGAGGCCATTTCCGGCCATCTAGTGATGCCATAATCATAAATATATTACCTTAGCCCCAATCTTGGTGAGGCTGAGGTCTAGACTCTCCATCTGTGAAATGGAAGGTAATTTTTAGCATTTTAACCCACTTTACTTTATAAAGAATGCTGTAAGGAAATAAACAAGATGCTAACCTCTTACGCTTTAAGACATGGTTTAAATCAAAGGAATGTGTCACCAAAAGAAATGAAATAACCATCAAACAACATAAACTAACATAGAAAAAAAAAAAAGGCTTTTTGAAACTGGATTAATTAAAGCAGGGATTGAGACCATCACAGATATATTAGGCTTTGATGGATTAATACTTCCTACAGATAAAAACACCTAAATGTCCTAAAATCCTTTTTGTTATATTTGAAATAGCAATCCTAGAGAATGGAAAAACAAGAAGTAACTACAGTGTTGTGCTAGATCATCAGTGTTCAGATTAGTACAGTACTTGTACTTCAAAACATACGGTGGCCCATAAGTGTCACGGCAACAACTTTTGAAATGTCACGACACACTTTCAAAATTCACGGCAACAACTTTTGAAACCACACAGCACACTTTAAAAGGTCACAGCACACTTTCAAAATTCACAGCACACTTTTAAAAACCACAGCACACTTTCAAAATTCACCACATGCTTTTAAAAACCACGGCACACTTTCAAAATTCACGGCAACAATTTTTGAAATGTCACATCAAACTTTTAAAATCTCAACTTCGGCCGTGAAAAGTACAACTTCCGCCGTGAGGTTCACGGCGGAAGTGACAGATATTTAAATTCTTGAAACTCCCGGCCGGCGGAAATATGGTAGCTGCTAAATACAACCACTCAGCCTGGGCTAGGTCAGACTAGAAGCTCTTCAGCCTAGGCCTATTCCAGGTACCCGTAGTCCAGGCCTCATTTTCATTAAGCTAGGCCTACGCAGAATTTGTTGTAAGATTCTGGCCTAGGCCCCTTCTCTAGGCCTGGCTACTGAAGAATCCTGTACTTAATATTAATTATTATTTAATAAATAACTTTTATAAACTACATTACAGACATGGGAAAGGTAATATTTAATTGAATTATTATTTATTAGCTTTCCGTCACACTTTCTCTTCTGGAATATGCCTGTAGAAATGGCAATTTTGTTTTTCAATTAAAAAATAAAAAATGATCATAAGTCCAAAGTTCAGCAATCATGTTTACCAGGGCCCACTCTTTGTCTTGATTAGGAATGAAAAATCATCAACATAAGAAGCCACCACCACCTCACCCTCACCAGAAATGGTTGTTTTAGTTTTAAAAAAAAGAGGGGGCCTTGGTAATCACACGGCATAGCAATATACAGTACCGTACAACCAGTAAGACAAAATAATAAGTCAGGCATATGTACCTGTATGTGTGTGTTTTTTATTTTTGTTTTTTTTTTTCAAAATTAGGATCCCTGGAATATTATCAACACACAGAGTAAAGTAATACATACCGTAGGTCTATAGCTTGTCTTATATTAAGGGTAGGGATTAGGTCGTAATCATAAAAAGAAATGAAATCAATAAATGGTCTACTTACTACTACATGGGCTACTACAATACAATACTCAGTCTATGTAGTTTTTAATTTCAATCGGATGAACAATTTATCTTATACTGAAGAGACAATGGGCCTAATAAATCAAAATTACAATTTTTACAAGATGATTGCTTATCTTGTTCTTCTTCGGGCCTATTCAGCTTATTCAAGCCATGAGCCATACAATGGTGCATTGCCAGTTTCGCCCTTTCATAATCATCATGCGTCAGTGTGTTTATGTGTGACTGCTGAAGTTAAGATTTATAATATTTATTGTTTCACGGCTTTTACACAAAATTACCATGGCAGGCCAGTATTCCAGAAAAAGAGAAAGGGTGACGGAAAACTAATAATAAATTAAATACTAACTTTCCCATGTCTGTATTGTAATGTAATTGTATAAATGTTATTTTATTAAATAATAATTCAGTACAGGATTCTTCAGTAGCCAGACATAAAGAAGGGACCTGGCCTAGCTTGACGTGAAAGAGAACGAGGCCTATACTACAATGAGACCGGGTAGCTGTGAATGGGCATAGGCTAGGTCTCGTGGTCCGACCAGCCTGCCCAGGCTGAAGTGGTTGTATTTAGCAACTCCCATGTTCCTGCCAGCTGCCAAAATTTTTAAGAATTTAAATTTCTACCGTGAGACAATCACTTCTCCGTGAACCTCACAGCGGAAGTTGTACTTTCCACAGCAGAAGTTGTGATTTTGAAAGTTTGATGTGACATTTCAAAAGTTGTTGCCATGAATTTGAAAGTGTGCCGTGGGTTTTAAAGTGTGCGATGAATTTTGAAAGTGTGTCGTGACTTTTCAAAGTGTGTCGTGTGGTTTTGAAAGTTGTTGCCGTGAATTTCAAAATGTGACCGTGACATTTCAAAAGTTGTTGCTGTGACACTTATGGGCCACCGTAAAAACAATATATATGAATACACAAATACTCCAGTAGTTTCAGAAATATTGAGAAAAAAGGTTCCCCTAATGTTCAGTTTAAATTGGGTAAATATATGGACAACAGTAGCAGAATTTTAATATTTGTAAAGCAAAATTGAAAATCCGATGATAAACAGTGTAACATCTGTATGTAATTGATGATACTTAGCATCTATTCTGTTACTGCTAAAAGGGTAAACTCTATATGATAGATTGTTAAATCAATCATAAATAACCTTGTGTTAGTATAAAGACACTGCTTATCTTTAAAAATGATGCAAACCATTTATTAGCAAATGATAACCCTTGTATAGCAAGTATTTTTTAAATGAAAAACAAGCCAATTGGATCACAAAAAAAAAAGTATGTTGTATGTAGTGTAGCCCTACCAAAACCGAATGAAATAAAAAAAAATTGAGTCACAATATATTTTTCATTGGTTTACCTGTTGTTCATATTAAAAATTCAAGAAATATAATTTCTAGAATTAACATTTTTCATTACTTTTATTAGCATGTATTTTTCCTTATAATGTTTATTAGTGTGTAGGCCTATATATTCTTTCTTTGGCCTGTTCACTTATTTTTATTTTTATTTTTTTTATTCTTTTGCAAGTACGTTCAAGTTTGAGATTAAAGTGATGTCTATCAATTAATTTTAATAAATCCATCCACTGGTGACAAGTGTCCTTGGTAGATATTTTAATTGTTGTTCTTGCTGTTATGTATTGAGTGATTTTTTTTTATAAATCTTTTGTTTTTGAATGATCTATATGACCTTTTAGTTTAATGAATTTTGTCTATATATAATGTACATCACATGCAATTCAGTGTCTGTTATTGCCATTTGTTAATTTAAAATAAATTAAAAAAATGAAATTGCAATACTAAATAAAAAAATTGAATGCTGCTAAAAAATGTTGTTGATATGAATCGAAATTTAAAAGAAAACACATAATTGAATTCAACATATAGAAAATGTGTAAGTAACAGTAATACAATATCATTATCATTCAGGTATTTAATTAAAATCTAGAAAAACATGACTGACCATTTTTAGTAACAATGACATCTGTGTGTGAGCTTCCGTACTTGTTAATGTGATTGACGGCACCCTTGATATCATCTACTATCTCCACCCCGCACTCTAGACCTCCATATTCAATGCTCATAGACTGAGCCTCTGCTGGACCAAACTTGAGTGAGCGAGAAAGCCTTTGTCCAGGATGAATTTTAACCTTTAAATGGTACATCCGATACATTAACGCAAGAGCTGGACAAAATTTGACTGACAACAATTCACATTCGTTCTTACCAACCTTACATATTGGTAATTCCTCTTCATATGTCACAAACATTTTAGACCAAACCGTCACAGATTATTCCCTGCCTACTACTTGGCAACTGTTTTATGATGATTTTGAAATACTTTCAATAAAATAATTGAGAAATAATTGGAGGTCTTCATTTTTCGGGTCTTCGGTCTTCGTTTTGTAGATACCCATATAAGGAGGTCTATAAAACGAAGACCCTTGAAAATTTCACAGACACCCAAAAAATTTCGTAATTTTGATATGTGACAGCCTGGTGTATTATTATCAAAATAAATGAGAAAAAATTTGAGTCTTCGTTTTTGGGTCTTCGGTCTTCATTTTATAGACACCCGACGATCATCAGGCCCATTTTCATGACGATTGGGCCCAACAAGATCGTGCAGGCAAATCATTTTAGCTTATGGCTGTCGTTTGTACTTGCTGATGTTTGATGTACTGTACTGACATAAACATATTTCATTTTAATTAAGATTCTTAAACACCTTACTGTATGTTACAGTATTGGAATGCAATGATGAATCAGAATGGAAGTGGGCCCGCGAGTCCACACTAGGTCTACTGATAGACCCATCGTCTCGTGCTGTGGTTGGCTCAATCGTCTATGTCACAACAACGGGTAAAGCTAAACGGCTAGACCCAGGAGAGATTGGGTGCAATGTGTGGTATTGTGAACCAAAAAACAACGATTATCGTGCACTCCGATAAGTTCTGTTGAACATCAACAATCGTCCCTTAAAATACCGTCAGGCACAAACGTGTAATTCAACCATTTAACGGGGGTGGAGCAATGAGCTAACGGCCTCAATCATGAATAAACGGGTGATAAACGCTCCCTGGCTAACAGTATTTCTAGGTGTGTTAGGGTAGCTTGTCGGAATACAATAGAAAACGTGTCAGAACACGATTCTGTCAATCGAAAATCAGTGGAGATGACGCCTTATTATTAATATATTTAGCCATAGAATGAGAAAATGTATTTTTCATTATTTTGCATGGCAAACCTTACCTGTTCTAAGCCAAGCATTTCTAGCACATTCTCAAACAACTGGGTCCTTTGCAGCCCTTTGTGGATGAGTAGGGTTTCCATTGCATTGCAGGCTGCTGGGTAATCACATTTGGAATCTCGCACTGTCAAGAAATTTATTTTATAGTTAAGTCAGAATAAAATAGAATAAAACTATATCAAAAGTTTATATATAAAAAGTTGTCAGTAGACAAGTAAAAATCAGTATTATAGTAAGTATTATAGGTATACCTAATCAGTAAACATTTTGGATCTATTATTTCCTGGGGAAAGAAAAAAGTCCTTCAATAAGTCACCTTGTTATCTCATAGACTTTACCAGGCCTAGCATCTGTCTACCACCAAAACCAAAGAATAAGAATTGTTTGGCTTGTTGTGTGCGCTCAGCTGGGCCCAGCAACAAAATAATGTTTATTTTGTTCGTTGGTTGGGATAGGAAAATTATGTTGAAATGAAAATTATGTTGAAATAAAATGAGGATGTTATGACTGACTACAACTACTATTAATAATAATCCTCAATAAAAGCAAAATATTTGGAAATAAAATGTGTCCAACCAACCAAAATAACTGTCAAAATATAAAATTATTAATTCTTGTTAATAGATACAGTTTTGTTTATTGTTTTATTTCTTTTATAAGGTTTTAATATGGTGGCCATTACAAAATTCCCTCCAATATAGTGAACCAAGCAGCTGCATACTCTTTCAGCACATTCTTCACAGTTAATGACAAGAAACATGAATTCTAATACAGAAACAAAAACAGATATTCTTACGTTACAATGATAGAGCATACAGGGCTCAAGGGATGTTAAGCCCAAAGCTCATATTTCATGTCACAACAATCAGTAAATACATTGATGATTAATCACCATCATCCAAAATACCTCACAAGGACTCAATTACATTCTATTGAAAGGATGCTTATATATACAATATATCAAGTTGGCTTATTTCCATAAGAATAACAAATACTGTGCTTAAACTAAAACACAATTAAGTAGATCATTTAACATATGGGTGTATATCTGTGCTGATAGCTAAGTTGCCATGGGAATATTGCATGCCAATCAAAGGTTTATTATTAACTAGGATATATATAGCCTGGAGGTTACAACATGTATTTTAAAATTAAGTTTTACTTGGAAAATATTTATTAAGAAATTATAAAGCAAAATAATACCTATTCATCCATTTATTTTGTCTACTACATGAAGCTGCAGACACTATTGCTATCCTCTGGTTTTCCTGACAAGGAAACAATAACTATAGTGTGTTTTCTAATGTAACAATTAATTCACAGAAATAAGTGTTAGGAATAAATTATTCTAACTAAAAACACTCAACAACTGCCAAATTTATACAGATATTTTGTTGTACACTTTTTTTTACAGAGACTATTATACATGCAAAGTAATAACAAGAAGTTCACTGAAATGGCATTAAAAAAAATGAGAGTTTAAATAGACTGAATTAAAAGCTGATGTATCGTGTGAAAAACGCTAAAAAAATGTGTTTCAGGGCGCTCAGTCTTACAGTTTCCTTTCAGGACAAATTGCTTTTAAAGTTGCATGCATTATAACATTCACAGATCGTTGCTCTCACATCACGCCTGTTATCTAAGAACTGCACACACTTTCTATTGATTCATGTATTAAATTCTTACTTCTCATATTCAAAGCACTTCACAATAAACTACCTGCTTACAATCATCATCTTACTTACATTTATATTCCTGGAAATATCATCAGATCATCCGACTACTTTTTTTGTTGTTTCTGTTCCCCGCACATTCTCCAAAACTATTGGTCACAGATCATTTTACTTCTGCAGAACCAACACTTTCAATTCACTCCCCTACATATAAACATTGTTCTTCTTTTGCTTCATTTACGAAATAAACTCAAAACTAATTTTTTTCTACATTAAAATGCACAGTGCCATTACTGCACCTTAGTTGATTTACTGACCCTATATAAATTCTTATACAATAATAATAATAATAATAATAATAATAATAATAATAATAATAATAATAATAATAATAATAATAATAATACCGAAAATGCATTGGCAACAGTAGGCCTAGTGGCACACATGACTGTGATATTCATCTATACATAGATAGAAAATATTATAAGTCAATCATGATGTCATCATTGTAACTCCCAATGCTATTTTCCTATCTCAAACTGTGCACTAACTTTTTGTTTAGTGCACTGTTTGCTTGACATTTTTCCATTTTGTGTGCAAAAGGTCAAAACAACTTGTATGTATTGCAATATCGCACACACGGTGATGAATTCTAGGCTAGTGTTTTTACACCTAGTACAACGCGTGCCTGCGAAAGAGAGGGTAGACACTTGCCTAATCGTAGTTTGTTGACAATTGGTAATTGAAAAAATGATATTCAACAAAAAAGGTATAATAAAACCTGTAGAAAGTCACTTCAAATCCAATATTATTATTATGCATGAAAAATTAAGGAATTCCTTGAATCAATGGACCTGAACATTTAACAGGAATTGTTTAGGCCTATTTAGACCTGTTTAAAAACACAAGAAACAAGATGTAGGCAGTAGACCAAGGCCCAGATCGATTTGTAGCCTAGAATAGATGAAATCATAACACGATTTTAACTTCAACTTGAAAAAAATCAATATAGAGAATCCAAAACAAGCATTAATTGGACTCGTAACAATTATTGGTATGAATAATAAAGTGGAGTACACCCAATAATTTTTAGAAGAGCTTTGCTTTTTTAACAGGTTCAATACTAACAATTATACAATGACATGCTTATTAATTTTACCGATGACCTATAATTACTCATCAGTAATGGCGAGCCAAACATGTCATCCAAATTAAATATGGTTTACAAATATACTAATAAACATGTTGAACAGCTCCTAATATCAAAGACAGTGTGAATAGTTTGGCGCATTGGTTGTGGCTTTGACTCCCAATCTTGAGGTCAAGTTTTTTTAAACTCTCGCTATGCAAGTCGATGGTGTCCTTCAAAGGCACATTACGTTTGTCTCTCTCTACACAGGAGTATAAATGAGTACCTGGTAGGATGTTGTGGCATTGACTGTACTAGTTTCGTGTGGCGAATACACATGCAAAATTAGCTATGCTCCCCGGGAAGCAGAGAGTGTTGCACCCAATGCTGGTTTGCCATAGTACTGTATGTTATGTGACTAGGGTAATAATGCTCAGCGCCTTTGGTCATTCGCTTGGAATTGGTTTGCTTGTCAGCATACAGGCCACAGTTTTCATCAGACACTTCTCAATCTTTGGTCATAATGATCAATTTAGGCATAAGTACTGCACTGAATACATTTTTTTCATGGGGTCAATATGCGTGGGAGATTTATACAGAGGAGATTTATGATGTGGGTGGAGGTACGCACTCTCAGAGTGCCCTAGAGTTATTATTATCATCATTCATCTGGAGCAAACAGACTATCATTTTATAATATTTCACTATGTTGTAGGCACAGGGCAAAGGATATGCCAACAGCGAACTTATCAATTTACTAATGGCAATCCTTCACATCAGACATGAGTCACAAATTAGCTTGCTTTAGAGTACAATGCTCCCCTCTTTATCTTGTTTTTTGTGGGGTGGGGGAGGGCAGTTCCCAATGCCCAATCCCACTACCCACCCTTGTAATGATAACAATAGACTAGAATGGGGAATTCTGGTGTAGATGTCATGATGCTGTGGTAAATTTTTCACAGTGCACTTTAAAACATGTGGGTAATTTTAATTCTTATTCAAGAATTCTCTTCATAGTCTTCAATACAATCCAACCACACATGCTGCTGCAGAAACTTACATTGAATCTACACCCTGTTTTAATTGTGGATATAAATAAATAATTTTCTTAGCAAAAAATCACAGTCATTCAAATTTTGTATTGCCTTTAATTAACCAATTTGGAATAGAAGATTTGCGGCTCATCTTATATTAAACAACACTTTAATCTTTTTTTTAACGCTTTTTAAAAACGCTGTATGAATATACTCATGAGGTTTATACACATCATAGGATGATGATGAAACACATCATAGCACATAAGACCTCATATTGGTTTATTTATATATCTTTATAGCTTTTGTCACAATGCTTTTTGTATCTATGTGCATGGCCTCAGGGAATAACAACAACCCTGCTTTGATCTGGAACTCCATGGTTAAATAAAGTTGAAATGAACCTGTACTTTAACTTGAGAGTAAAATTAGGAAATTGCCTATCTAAAAGAATCTTTGACAAACATGATTGATAATTACATTAATATTGTATCTTATAATATAGTCAAATTTGCCTTGAACAAGTTTAATATTTCAAAATAATGAAGTTGCTTACAGAAGGATAGTAGAGAAGATTGCTAAAGTGGTGTGATATAAATTACCCTAGTAAGACTAAAGAAATTATTACGTACTTTCTGAAATTGAAAGAACCATCAACAACTCTTAAAGATAATAATATAGAAACTGAATAACAGGTAACGTTAAGTATCTCGGTGTCTGGATAGGTGAGGATCTGAGTTGCAATTCAAGTCAATTATAAAGTTTTATGCAAAAGGCAAATACAATCAATGATAAAACCGGGACGATGCTCTACTCCGGATAAAACCTAGCATGCAGTAAAACTTCAGTAGATGAGGCAGATTTATTCATACAAGAATAAAGACAAACAGGCACAGAAACTCATTTCTTCCAACTATACGAATATATAATAAAAATTGTTTTTATTTTGTTTGTTTATGGATTTAATGGGACTGATGTTTTGTTATATATATATATTTTTTTAATTTACTGTTGTGCAATTGTGTATATATGGTATTACCCAGAAGTTTATGTACTTGATGTGGTGAATAAAAATGATCTACCTGAGTCACAAAGTTTTTGATTATAAAATATATAATTTTTATTCTTAATTTTCTATAGAGTACTACAGTGTTACGTCATGATACCACGTGATACTACTTCGTTGCTATCGGTGACACAAAATTTTCTTCACTGACAAACCACTGATCCCAACTTCTAACGTAATTATTAAGATATTGTATCTTAGTTTTTCTTTGTAAATTTTAAT